TTCCCTTCCACCTTCTCTTCCCTTCCATCTTCCATTTCTTCTCTTCCATCTTCCCTTCCACCTTCTTCTCTTCCCTTCCACCTTCCCTTCCACCTTCCCTTCTCTTCCCCTTCCACCTCTTCCCTTCCACCTTCCACCTTCTTCTCTTCCCTTCCATCTTCCCTTCCACCTTCCACCTTCTTCTCTTCCTTTCCACCTTCCACCTTCCCCACCTTGGCTTTCGGATGGGTGGGATATATATAGAGAGGACCCCCTATCTTGGTCTTTTGCTGCTGTTGGAGAAACCTTGATAAGACTTTTTTGAGGCAAAGAAGGGGTTGTCCAAAGTTGAAGACAGATGAGGAGGACAGAGAAATGGACTCTGGAGTGAGAGCCCGGAGAAGACCCCAGAATGTTCCGGTCCACTCACAAGAGTTTCCGTCTTTTTTTTAGGAACTGGCGGCATCTCACAACGCCCTCCACCAGGTGAAAACCTCTCCAGAAGGTAAGTCCCTGTTCCCACTCAAAAAAGCGTTTAGCGGAACCCAAATCAGGTAGTCCTCGGCTTATGACCACCATGGAGCCCCACATTTCCATTGCTAAGCGAGTTTTGCCCTTTTTTGCCTCAGTTGTTAAGGGCAGAGGGGGGGAAAACCAGACTCGCTTAAGAACCGCGTTACTACCTTAACAACTGCAGCGAAGGTCGTAAAATGGGGCAAAACTCACTTAACAACCGCCTCGCTTAGCGATGGAAATTCGGGGGCTCAATTGTCATCGTAAGTCGAGGGTTGCCTGGCGCCTCCCTTCTAAATTGTAAGACTGGACAGCCATTTGTCTGAAATGGCATAGGGTTCCCTGCTTGAGCAGGAGGTTGGACTAGATGACCTCCAAGCTCCCTTCCATCATCATCATCATCATCATCATTATTATGTCTGAAATGGTATAGGGTTTCCTGCCAGAGCAGGGGGTTGGACTAGATGACCTCCAAGGTCCCTTCCAACATCATCATCATCATCATCATTATTAGTCTGAAATGGTATAAGGTTTCCTGCCTGAGCAGGGGGTTGGACTAGATGACCTCCAAGGTCCCTTCCAACATCATCATCGTCATCATCATCATCATTATTATTAGTCTGAAATGGTATAGGGTTTCCTGCCTGAGCAGGGGGTTGGACTAGATGACCTCCAAAGTCCCTTCCAACATCATCATCATCGTCGTCATCATCATCATCATTATTATTATTATTCGTCTGAAATGGTATAGGGTTTTCTGCCTGAGCAGGGGGTTGGACTAGATGACCTCCAAGCTCCCTTCCAACAACATCATCATCATCATCATCATCATCATCATCATCATCATCATCATCATCATCATCATCATCATCATGTCTGAAATGGTATAGGGTTCCCTGCCTGAGCAGGGGGTTGGACTAGATGACCTCCAAAGTCCCTTCCAACATTATTATTATTATTATTATTATTATTATTATTATTGTTGTTGTTGTTGTTGTTGTTGTTGTTGTTGTTGCTGTTATTGTTGTTGTTGTTATTATTATTATTAATTATCGTGGCGATCCTTGGATTCTCTCTTCATTCGCAGAAACCACTACTTGCAACTCTGACCTCCCAGCGTGTGTGTGTGTGTGTGTATGTGTGTGTGTGTGTGTATAGCGTATCAGTGCTGCAATTTTTTTTCCGCTTTGCCATCCACCCTTGGAGAGATAAAACTGTTTAATCGCCCAGCAAGCGGTTTAAACTTTGACCTGTTTTAACTTCAAACTTGTCTGAACTCCTGACCGATTTCCTCCGCAGCGCTCCGCAAAGAGGGGTTTGAAAAGGACGCCATCTTTGGGTACCTGGTGGCCGAGGTGCCCCCCGCGCAGAAAAGCAAAGACGGTACGGCAACAGGCCGGGGTCCCCTTGCAGGAGGGGGCGGAGGGGAGAAGCCCAGCCCTCGGGAGGGTGGGAAAGGCGGCTGCGGAGGCAGCCAGGGACCCTGGGAATTGGGGTGAAGGGGAAGGCAACCCTGCCCCCCCCCCCAAAATGTGTTATGCCTTATCGCCATCGTTGGGTCGGTTACGATACCCGAAGGAACTGGAAGAGAGTTCGCCGTGGCTTGGGCCAATTCGGTTGCGGGGTTAAGGTGCCAGGTTAGAAACCAGGCGACGGTGAGTTCTAGTCCCACCTTAGGCATGAAGGCCGGCTGGGTGACTTTGGGCCAATCACTGGGAGACGGTGAGTTCTAGATCCACCGTCGGCACAAAAGCCGGCTTAGTGACTTTGGGCCAATCACCAGGAGACTGGGAGTTCTAGTCCTGCCTTAAGCATGAAAGCCGGCTGGGTGACTTTGGGCCAATCACCGGGAGACGGTGAGTTATAGTCCTGCCTTAAGCATGAAAGCCATATGGGTGACTTTGGGCCAATCGCCAGGCGACGGTGAGTTCTAGTTCCGCCTTAGGCATGAAAGCTGGCCGGGTGACTTTGGGCCAATCCAAGAGACGGTGAGTTCTAGTCCCGCTTAGCTACAAAAGCCAGCTGGATGACTCTGAGCCAATCACCAGGCGACAGTGAGTTCTAGTCCCACCTTAGGCACAAAAGCTGGCTGGGTGACTTTGGGCCTGTCGCCCTCTCTCAGTCCAGCCCAATTCACAGGAAGGAAGGAAGGAAGGAAGGAAGGAAGGAAGGAAGGAAGGAAGGAAGGAAGGAAGGAAGGAAGGAAGGAAGGAAGGAAGGAAGGAAGGAATAATTTTACAAAAATAGTCACCCCCTTCCAGCTCCCTTATGGTTCCATCAGGGTTTCCATTCTCCATCCTTACAAACACTTCCGAACCGTTTCAAAACCGGATTCTGGGGCGGCAGAGACATGAACGCATCGCCGGGAAGATCCGTGAAACCCCAGCGAGAAACGGGTGGGAAAAATTCAACGCAGGCCCCGTGAATCGGGAGGCCAGCCGATGCTCTTTCATCCCCCCCACTTCCCAGGTGCAGAATTCAAGTTTATCCTTTTTTTTTCTCAGCGCCCTTTCCTTAACCCAAATCATTGCTCCTTTCCCCCCCTGCAGGACACACAATTGTCGGCTATCAGTTCCACTACTTGAGCTACTGCACCTGGGACGGTCCGGTTCTCTTCGGCGAAGACCTCTACGTGATGCCGGAATTCCGAGGTAGTGGAGAAATTCGGGGCCCTTCTGTTACGTACGACGGGGGGTGGGTGGGTGTCCTCGATTTAGCGATGCCACGAAGTTCTGACGGATCTACCTGGGGACGTTCTGACAACTCAGATTCCGAGTTTCAAATATCCCGCTCATTCTGGACTTACGACGATTCGTTTTAGCAACCGTTCGAGATTACAACAGCGCTGAAAAAGGTGACCTAGCACCGTTTTTCACACTTAACGACCGTCGCAGCCTCCCTGTGATCACGTGATCAAAATCTGGACTCGTGACGACGGGTTCATATTTATGACTGATCTTGTGTGAGTCGTCAGTGAGAGGCTTGTGATGAGTCTTGTGACAGGGATGTTACAACAGGTCAGGTCGCTGGGAGGTGAACTGCTGGTGAGAGTGGGGGATTGCGCGGGATGGTTGAGGATCGGTGCTGTCTCGGGTTGGCGCTGCGGTTGATTTGGCTCCCGAGGGATTCGTAGGCTAGTTGTCGGTCAGTGTGTCCATCGATGGAATTGCTTGCGGCATGCCACACGCGGCGGCACGTGCGGCATGCCACATGCGGTGAACTCACGCACGTGGTGGGTGGTCGCGTGGCCGGTGATTTTTGTGTTGCCCCAATCGAACTAGAGTCGTTGGGTGTCGGTGTGGGTAACGATTTAAGGATTTGGGATTGTGGAGTTTGACTGCCCTCCAGTGTTCGTGGATCCTGGTTTTTTTATGGACGTGACGCTTGTCCCACGTAGAATTGGTTGCGATCATTACAGGGTTTTTTTTTTAATGTTTATTATGCTGTCAGCTGCCCAGAATCGTTTGAAACAAGACAGGTGGCGAATAAATTTAATAAGCAAATAAATCCCACATTTAAGGCACCTTCAGGCCAAATCAAACATTAGATGTATCCTTCTCATCTTTTCTATTACCTATTTAATAATAATAATAATAATAATAATAATAATAATAATAATAATAATAATAATAATAATAATAATAATAATAATAATAATAATAATAATAATAATAAAGTTGGAAGGGACCTTGGAGGTCATCGAGTCCAACCCCCTGCTCAGGCAGGAACCCTACACATTCTTATGACTATAACTTTGCGGTTTGATTCTTAGGACTCACGTTGATTGCTTTGATTAGTTTCCCATTATGATTTACGACGATTGCTGATTTATTATCCTAGGACTATCACTGAATGTGGATTTAGGAAGACTGTATTTTAGGATGATGATCATGATTTATCACTTGATGCTTACGCACCAGAGACAAATTCCTTGTGTGTCCAAACACACTTGGCCAATAAAGAATTTTTATTTTTTTAAAAATATGATTTTTCTCTCTCTTTCTCTCTCTCATCTTCCTGGCCAGGGAGAGGAATTGGCACTGCCCTGCTGAACCGAGCATCCAAGGTAAGACCCACGGGTAGCAGTCTAGCCAGCAAGTCTTCCCCTAGTCCAGTCCAGTCCACGGGCCTCTAAGGGCCCCTCCCGAATCAAACAAACCTGGTTTTTCATCTCTTCTCCCCAGATCGCCCTGGAAAAGGGATGCTCTCAATTACGGTTCATCTCGGTCGAGACGCATCAAACCAAGACCGGTTTCTATCACAAGAAAGGAGCCGTGAACGTCACTGACCGTGATACTTGGCACGTCTTCCGGATCGACGGGGACCCCCTTGCGAAGCTGGTGGGGGAAGCTGCAGCCAAGCCGAACCCCTCGCAGCTTTAGACACCCCCTCCCACATTTCCAATTCTACCCAGATTAGCCAGTGCAATTCCAAAGGGGTGACTCGGGGCCCCCCACCTCTCCCCTACCTGTGCGCAGGTTGAGGGGGGGGAAATACTTTTTTCCCCCTCTTCTTTCTGGAAGGCCAAAGTTTGACCCTCCCCCCCATCTCCTTCGACAAGAATGCAGAATGTAAATACAGAAGGCAAAACACAGAATGCAGAATGCAGAATGCAAAATGCAGGCCTGAGGTTGCAGAATGCAAAATACAGAATGAAGAGTGCAGAATATAGAATTCAGAACGCAGAATACAAAATGAAGAATGCAGAATGCAGAATACAAAATGCAGAATGCAGGACTGAGGCTGCAGAATGCCGAAGATAGGATGCTGAACATAGAATGCAAAACACAGAATGCAGAAATTAAAATGCAGAATACAGAATTACAACCGAGCTGAAAGGGACCTTGCAGGTCTTCTAGTCCATCCCCGTGCTTGAGAACAAAATAAAAGCTAGGGGAGGGCTCCTTTATAGCCGTCTTTTTCCCCACTTCCCCCTCGTGTGGTGGAAATCCTGCAAGCAACCCCCCTGCCCAGCAGGATTTGAAAGCGAGGCAGAGGGAACAAGGAAAGGAGGAAGGCCCCAAAATTAAGAGTGCAAATTCTTTCATTCACACTCTCTCGAATTAGGACTTAATTTGCAGGCCTAAGAAGGCAAGGGGACCGGAGATTTGGGGTGCTTGGCATGGAAAGGGGGCTTTTGGGGTGCCCTGGCAGCTGAGCACAGAGACCTGGATTTCCAAGGGATTGCAACCGTTTCCATGGCCATGGTCTCTTTCCACCGGGATGGGATGGAATAACTCTGAGAATTTGCAGCCAGGGTTTAAAGTTTGGGGTTTAAAGAGGATTAAGCTGAGATTAAGCCAGGAAGAAACCGGCTAGGGATTTAGGATTGCAAATCTGAACCCCCAACACTCCCAGCAAATCTGTTGGCTTAACCTGGATTTAGCTCTATCAAACCAGGATTGCAAATCCCCGGGGCGGCCACTAGGGGGCAGCCCAACAGCTACAGTTTTTGTTTGGCGCCCTCTGGTGGCTGCCCCGATTGCTGCAACCTTCAAAAAAATCTGCTTTTTTGGCTTCGGATTCGTGCTGACGTGGGAAGAGTTATTAAAAGATCTTGTGAAATGCTTTTTTTTTTTTTTTTAGTCCCAGGTTTTATTTTTCCGAGAAATTCAAGTCTGCATTGAAGACAATTTAAGAAAGAAGATTGTTGCCTTGCGTTGCAGTGCCCGCCCCTTTAATTGCAGCCGTGTCAAAATTGTGGGTTTGTGGACTCACACATTTTCCCTGGGGCCGTGTCAAAATTGTGGGTTTGTGGACTCACACATTTTCCCTGGGGAAAAAAAAAACAGAATAGAGAAAATGAACCCGGAAGTTCCACCTAGTGATAGAGAAAGAAAGCGAGTCTATCTTCACTATTCCTACCTCTATGTTATTGTTACGCTGCTGCCCTACGTACTGTGCCTCTGTCCCTTTCCCCCTTAAATCTCGCGATATCTAAGCGTCTCCACGCGAGATATCCCTGCCGGTAGTTTCAGGATACAAAGAGCTACTAATAGCAGATCTGTTTTCTGCTTCCGGCAGTGTTTAGCCAAGCTGCAAAATTCAGAGTTTTCTGCCATTTTACCACTGATTTGTGTATTTAATCCTGTTTTGCCTCCTAAAATCACCCAGATAAGCCCCTGAGTGGAAGCCCCACTGATTTCCGTGGGTGCAAGTTACATGTGTATCCACCCTCCGGGTCCAAAGCGTGCAAAATCTATTTTTAAAACTTTATTTTATTTTTAAACAGTGCTTTTTTCAAAGAAAAACTGATTCTGCTGCACAATCTTTTGCCCAGGGCCCCAAATACACCTTGTAATTAAAATGCCACGGTTGCAAACAGCAAATACAAAATCCTTTGCAAGATTTTGTGCATTACAGTCATAAAGCTACACCAAATATTTGGTTTTCCCGGCAAAGGTGGCATCGAACCGGGGTTGAAGGGTTGAAACCAGGAAGGGTAGCAATGACTCCGCTGCTTTACAGTTATTCCTCAACTTACGACTGCAATTGGCACCGCTTGCCAAGCAAGGCGGTTGTTAAATAAGTCACACCTAATTTAATGACTTTTTTGCCTTGGTTGTTAAACAGATCCCTGCAGAATCGGGGTCGTTAAGCGAATCCGGCTTCCCGCTTGTGGACAGTCAACTGGGAAGGTCGTTAAAAAGGGGATCATGTGATCCCGGGACGCTGCGACCATCATAAATACACGATGCCAAACGTCCAAATTTTGACCATGTGACCGCTAGGAGGCTGCGACCGTCATAAGCGTGAGGAGTGCTCATAAGATACTTTTTTCCAGTCCTGTTCTAACTTGGGTCGGTAAACAGATGGACGTAAATTGAAGGACTATCTGTATTTCATCCAATTTGCGTCCGGCTTCAGAAGAATGGAAGGATTTAGCAAATTGGAGATCTCCCAGTTTTTCTCAAACTTGGGCCCACTTTAAGACGTGGACTTCTTGCTGGGGGAATTCTGGGAGTTGAAGTCCACCTGTCTTAGATGGTCCAAGTTCGAGAAACACTGGGCTGGATCCCTCGGTTCCTGGACATTTGCAAAACGTGATTCCAAAAGGGATAAACATGTCTTGGTCCAAAAGTATAAAAAAATGTTGGCTGCCACTTCGATCTCGCTGGATCCAAACTCAAAGAGCAGATTCTCAGGATCTCCCCGCTGAAGGATCTCCTAAGCCAGTGTTTCTCAACCTTGACAATTTTAAGGCATGTGGACTTCAACTCCCAGAATTCCACAGCCAGCAATGCTGGCTGTGGAATTCTGGGAGTTGAAGTCCACATGCCTTAAAATTGTCAAGGTTGAGAAACACTGTCCTAAGCGGTCCGGAAACATAAGCCAGGGTGGGCTCAGTCTGGTTCGCCCCACTTTTCTGCGGGAAAATTCTCAGCAGTTTTGAGCCTCCCGGCTGTGTCAAGTCTACCTTGTGGCCAAGCCACGATCCACAATGAAGGAGATGCTTCTGGGTGGAGAACCCCAAGATTTGCGGTGGGGATCCTTCTCAGAGGTGGGACGGGGGTCTGCAGAGATGCTCGGGATGTCTACAAACGGAGCACACCGAGGAAGGTCCCGTGGGTGGAGATGTCGAAGGAGGCGTTGAACCGTGGGATGCGCAGACTCAGACGGTCCCCCTGGTGCAGTTGGAAAACCCCTAGAAGTAGGGGAAAAGGGGGGTTCAGACACAGGGACCCGCATTGAACAGAACCGCCAGTCCAGCTACGGGTCACACCAATGTCCCCTATGGGCTGAGGACACGGGCCACGAGATCAGGAGAAAACTATAGGGCGGGTTGGTCTAGATGACCTACAAGGTCCCTTCCAACTCTGTTATTCTATTTTATTCTATTCTATTCCATTCCATTTCCTATTCTATTCCATTTCCTATTCTATTCCATTTCCTATTCTATTCCAACTCTGTTATTCTATTCTATTCTATTCTATTCTATTCTATTCTATTCTGTTCTGTATTTTATTATTCTATTCTATTCTATTCTATTCTATTCTATTCTATTCTGTTCTGTTCTGTTCTGTTCTGTTCTGCATTCCATTCCATTCTGCATTCAATTCCACTCCATATTTTCTATTCTATTCTATTCTATTCTATTCTATTCTATTCTATTCTATTCTATTCTATATTCTATATTCTATATTCTATTCTATTCTGTATTTTATTATTCTATTCTATTCTATTCTATTCTATTCTATTCTATTCTATTCTATTCTATTCTATTCTATTCTATTCTGCATTCCATTCCATTCTGCATTCAATTCCACTCCATATTTTCTATTCTATTCTATTCTATTCTATTCTATTCTATTCTATTCTATTCTATTCTATTCTATATTCTATATTCTATATTCTATTCTGTATTTTATTATTCTCTTCTCTTCTCTTCTCTTCTATATTCTATATTCTATATTCTATATTCTATATTCTATATTCTATATTCTATATTCTATATTCTATTCTGTATTTTATTATTTTATTTTATTTTATTCTATTCTATTCTATTCTAAAAACGGGAGGCTGGCTGAGGTATTCTGGGAGTTGAAGTCCACAAGTCATCAAAGGGTCAAGTTTGAAGACCCCTGGTATATTACATCGACTGCCTTCCCACTATCAAGAAAATTTTCCAGTTAAAACAAAAAACAAAAATACAATGAAGGTAGTCTCTATACCTTTGTTATGAAACTCTTGCAGGCTGGGGAATTCTGGGAGTTGAAGTCCAGCCGTCTTAAAGGGCCAGAGGTTGCAAAAAAACCCAAACCCCTGGTTTAGACGTTCCGGACAAGTGAATGGCGACTCACCTCCACTGTAGCAGCTGTTATAAGCCTTCTCCACCTTGGGCGGCATACTCTGGACGCAGCGGAAGAGGATCTGGTCCGGCTTGCCCAAGGCCACTCGCCGTAGGACCTGCCCCATGGTAAAAGTGGGGTCATGGAACAGTACCTAGGAAGGAGGGGAGAAAGAGGGTAGGCGTGACCTTATTTCCGGGGTCTTCAAACCTGGCCCTTTGATGACTTGTGGACTTCAACTCCCAGAATTCCTCAGCCAGCATGAGAGAACCATGGCCCTTTTATGATTTGTGGACTTCAACTCCCAGAATTCCTCAGCCAGTGTGTGAGGTAACTATGAGCGTTTGATGACTTGTGGACTTCAACTCCCAGAATTCCTCAGCCAGCGTGAGGGAACTAAGACCCTTTTATGACTTATGGACTTCAACTCCCAGAATTCCTCAGCCAGCGTGCCTGGCTGAGGAATTCTGGGAGTTGAAGTCCACAAGTCATCAAAGGGCCGAGTTTGAAGACCCCTGCCTTATCTGAACCTATTTAATAATAATAAATAAAAGAATAACAGAATAACAGAGTTGGAAGGGACCTTGGAGGTC